CGGGGGGGACCGGGGGGGCGTCGCTGCTCCATGTCGGTCCCCTCCTGCGGGAAATATGATCAGCGCCCCTGACGTGGTGGCCTTCACCAGAGAGGAGGAGCTGGAGGATGAGCTGTACAGCGAGCCGCCCCTGCCCGAGGAGTACTCAGTGCCGCTTTTCCCCTTCGCCAGTCACGGCGCCAACCCCTGGGCCAAGGTCGCCAGCTCCAAGTTCACCCGGGACTTCATCCTCATCTCTGAGTTCTCAGAGCAAGTGGGGCCCCAGCCCCTCCTGACCATCCCCGATGATGCCAAAGTGTCAGGCACTTTCGATCTCAATTATTTTTCCCTTCGGATCATGTCTGTGGATTACCAGGCTTCCTTTGTGGGGCACCCTCCTGGCTCTGCATACCCGAAGCTGAACTTCGTGGAGGACTCCAAAGTGGTGCTGGGGGACTCAAAGGAAGGGGCCTTCGCATACGTCCACCACTTGACTCTGTACGACCTCGAAGCCAGGGGTTTCGTGAGGCCCTTCTGCATGGCCTATATTTCCGCCGACGAGCACAAAATCATGCAGCAGTTTCAGGAACTCTCTGCTGAGTTCTCCAAAGCCTCCGAATGCCTAAAGACAGGGAACAGAAAAGCTTTTGCAAATGAACTGGAAAAGAAACTGAAAGATCTTGACTACACCAGGACTGTCCTGCACAATGAAACCGAGATACAGAAGAAAGCCAACGACAAAGGCTATTACACAACCCAAGCCATCGAGAAGGCCAACGAGCTGGCCAGTGTGGAAAAATCTATCATCGAGCACCAAGATCTGCTGAAACAAATCAGGTCGTATCCTTATAGGAAGCTGAAGGAGTGCGATTTCCACCCTTATGAGCCAGAGTGTGCGCTGGATCAGGCCAGCACAGGCTGCGAGCAGGACCTGACTACCTCTGACCTTGCTGAGCCTGGCGAAACGCACCTTTACGCCCATGTGCCGTCCTATACCCCCAAGCTCATCAAAGCGAAGTCTACCAAGTGCTTTGACAAGAAGCTGAAGACGCTGGAGGAGCTCTGTGATATTTATTTTTTCACCCAAACCCTTGACCAGTTGCATCAGATCGAGAGGACTTTCAGAGGTGACGTGTGCTACCTCCTGACAGACCAGATCAGTAGGGCGCTCTTAAAGCAACAAAGTGTAACTAACTTCCTCTTTGAGGATATATCTTTTCTGGGTGAAAAAACACCTGAAAAACAGTACAGAGGCTGCCAGGGGCTCAATCAAGACGTCATCGATAGAAAGTGTTTGGAAGAGTCCCCTGCTCCTAAAGTGGTCATCAGCCTGGGGTCCTACAAGTCCAGCGTGGAGTGTGTGCCCATCAAGATGGAACAAGAAATCGAGGACTCCCAAGAACCCAAAATGACTGAGTCCATGACGTTTGAACACCAGGAGAACCTGGACTACCTCGATGCAGATATTAAAGGCAGCATCAGTAGCGGTGAAAGCATCGAGGTTCTTGGAACGGAGAAGTCGGCATCTGGCTTGACAAAATCGGAGAGCCAGGCCAGCCTACCCGTCAGCCCCAGCCCCCAGGTGGGCAGGAGCAAGGTGGGCAGCCGGAGGACCGTCAGCGAGGACAGCATCGAGGTTCTCAGCACGTGTCCCTCTGAGTCGCTCATCCCGGAAGATTTTAAAGCAAGCTACCCAAGTGCCATTAATGAGGAACCTTATGTGGATGATGAAGAGGGAGGCCTTCGTTTCACCTCCAGACTAAACCCGGACGATGCTGACGAGCAGGAAGACGTTTCGAAACAGGAAAACTTAGTGCAGGTTGACTCTGCCTGTTGTATCGGGAAGGAGAGTCCCAACTTCCTCGAGCCTCTGCCTGAGCTGGGACAGAAGCCCTGCGACGAGGATGGGGTGGTCAGGATCCCCCCGCAGCCGTACCGACAGGCTGAGCAGGGGCTGCGCGGGAGCTTTGGGGCCTTCCCCTCCCATGACGGCATCTCAGGGGGGCTCCTTCCTTCCGAGCTAGACTCGCGCTACCTGACGGGCAGCAGGGAGGTCAGCAAGAGCAGCCTGGATGAGTGCTCGGACTCCATGAGCTATATCAGCAGCGCCGCCTCCACGTGCTCCGACAGGACCCCTTCTCCCGCTCACCCCGCCTGTCAGGCAAGTGAAAGGCACAAAAAAAAGGCTGGCCAGAACGCGCTGCGGTTCATCAGGCAGTACCCCTTCGCTCACCCCGCCATCTACTCCCTCCTCAGTGGGAGGACCCTGATCGTGCTGGGGGAAGAGGAAGCGATAGTCAAGAAGCTTGTGACGGCGCTCTCCATCTTCGTGCCAAACTGCGGCGTTTACACCAAGCCTGTGAAGCACTGGGTCACTTCCCCTCTGCACGTTGTGGATTTCCAGAAGTGGAAGCTGATTGGACTCCAGAGGTAAATTGGGGATCTGTTTGCTGTCTCGGTGTTGAGGTGTACGATAAACACTTGGTCTCCTAAGTGGGAATTCTAGAGGGGAATTGGTGCGCAGGGGAGGTCTCTGTCTAATTACCTATGCAGCTGCCATGAATTTCTGCTTGTGGGATATATTTTGAAGAGGAGTAGATTTGTCTGTCTCTTTATATCCAGCCTCACTTGAGAGTTAATATTTAAAACATCTGCTGGGCACTTGCAACCTGGTGCATGCTACTTATTTGGCGAGGAAGTTTCCTTCTGGTTTAGGTCTTAGCCTGGCAAAGCAGAGA